AGGAAGGAGGGTGGTGCCTGTGGCTCAAAGGAGTAAGGCCATATGCTGGAGGTGGGAGGGTTCAAACCCAGCCCCAGCCAAAACAGCAAAAAAAAAAAATGGAAGGAGAAAGAGTGAGAGAGAAGGAAGGAGGGAGGGAAGAGGGAAGAAGGAAGGAAGGGAGGAAGGAAGGAAGGAAGGAAGGAAAGAAGGAAAAAAGAAAGAGAAAAAGAAGGACCATAATGTGCAGCCATCCCACTACTGAAATCAGTATGTCAATGAGATATTTTCACTTCTGTTTTCATTGCAGCATTATTCACAATAGCCGAGAGATGGAATCAAAGGGTTCATTAATGGAAAAATGGATAAAGAGAATATTCTTTTGCATGCACACACACAGATTTAAGTACGGATTATCCTACAATATTATAAGGGAATGCTATCCTATACACAATGAAATGCTATTCAGCCTCAAAAAAGGAAGAAATTCTGTCATTTGCAACAACATGAGTAAACCCAGAGGACATTATTTTAAGTGAAATAAGCAGCACAGAATGACAAATACATGATCTCACTTACATGTAGAATCTAAAAAGTGTCAAGTTCATGGGAACAGGGAGCTCTCATGAATGGTGGTCTCCAGGGGCTTGGTGGTAGGGAATGGGGTCAAAGGATATAAAGTTTCCATTAGACTAGATGAATAATTCATGGAAATTTTTGTACAATTATGGTGTCTAGTTAATAAATATTATGTACTTAAAAATTGTGAAGAGAATAGATATTAAATATTCTTATCCCCCAAATGGTAAGTATGAGGTGATGGACATAGCAATTTGCTTGCCTTAACAATTTCAATGTATATACGTAACAAAACATGTATACTATAAATACACAGAATTTTTACTTATCAATTGTATTTTAAATAAAGCTTAGGGATGGATCAGAAACAAAACCAAAAACTTTTATCCACAAAAACAAATCGATAGCATGGAATGTCAGTCTTTCAGGCAAGACACTCTTCAGAGAACTCAACCGTGAAGTGATGTTTCGCTTGTCTTTGCCAAAGGCTTGTTTAGACATCTGGTATTGGCAGAGGCAGTTAGCAGGTCTGTTAGCCACCCATATCTAAGCACTAACCTTTCCCTATGTTGTCAAGATACCAGGAATCAACACACTGGACCCCATTTTTTTCTAATCCCTGTAGAAATGTTTTAAAGAGCTAAAGGTTAACATTTTCCTCTTACTTTCATCCCTTTTTCTTGCCCACGGTTCCATGGAAAACATGGTTTGGTTTGGTTGTTTCCTGCCCATAGCCTCCCCTTCCGCTGCATTTTCTTCTTCCCCCGCCTTTAGCTTCCTCATGATAATGAATCCCACATAAATGCTTTCCTCTCTTCCACAAATTGGAGCCAAGAACGTTACCTAACATGTTACTCAATAGCCTTAACAAACAGGCATTCATTCTAGGTTCATCTTCCTATTTAGTTTAAAAAATAATAGTCCAAAAACTGCTTTATTTTAAAAAATGAAGTCTATGTAATCTGTGTGACTTAATTTTTATCTAACCTATCAGGGCACTGAGAACTGAATCCAGGGCACATTTTCTTTTCTTTGCTTTTTTTTTTTTTTTTTGAGACAGAGCCTCAAGTTGTCCCCGTGGGTAGAGTGCCGTGGCATCACAGCTCACAGCAACCTCCAACTTCTGGGCTCAAGTGAGTCTCCTGCCTTAGCCTCCCAAGTAGCTGGGACCACAGGCACTCATCACAATGCCCGGCCATTTTTTGGTTGCAGCCGTCATTGTTGTTTGGCAGGCCTGGGCTGGGGATTCGAACTTGCCACCTTAGGTGTATGTGGCTGGCGCCTTAGCCATTTGAGCCTGACTCACACTGCTTCTTTCTAATGAATTGACCGTTACATTTCGGAAGTTCTGAAATGGCCAACAGATCATAGAGGGATAATTCTTTAGGCTCCTGCTTGAAACCAACACCTTCAGCAAACTGCTGGCCTTGTTTCAGAGCCAACTAGAAAAACCTTTAAATGTGACATTTCTGGCCTGGTCTCGGTTTAGCCAATGACAGTCATATGTCAGTTAATGACAAGGATACATTCTGAGAAATGCACCATAAGGCAATTTTGTCACTGGGTGAACAGTATAGAGCGTGCTTATGCAAACCTAGGTGGTAGAGCCTACTATTATACAAACCAAAGCTACATGGAGTAGCCCATTGCCACCAGGATGCCAAGCTGTGTAGCGTGTTACTGTACCAAGTACTACAGGTAATTATATTACAGTGGTATTTGTGTATCTAAATTAGAAAAGGTACAATAAAAATACAGAACTATAATCTTATTAAACTACTGTCATATATGTGGCCTACCTTTGAGCAACATTGTTATGAGGTGCACGACTATCTATCCTTTTGTAGCAAAAGAAATAGATTCCTATTGAACCTTGCAAATACCTACATACCATTGAATTCAAGGGATTTTGTGAAGGCATCTTGTGCAATATTTTATTATAATTATAAGCAGTTTTGCAGATAAGGTCAATCAAAATATGTCTTATATTCTACAGAATCCTCATATAACAGCAAGACTAGCTCCAAAAGTCTCATTTACATATGAATAATATCTAGAAGAAGTAAAATGGAAGAACAAAAGAATGAAAAAGACTCAGGGAATCAAGACACATCTGAAAGCTCCGACAATGGCCCCTCACAAAATTTATACCTATTAAATATGCCTCTTTTATACTATTAAGAGAGTTCAGTGAACTATAAGAATGTATGGATAAAACATTAAATGAAATTTGGGAAACCATACACAAATCAAATGAGAAGTTCGACGAAGAAATGATTAAAAAATAGAAATTTTAGTGATGAAGAATGCGATAACTAACTGAAAAATGCAAAGGAAAGCTTCAACAAAACTTTCTCTCTTTTTTTTTTATTTTTTTGGCTTGGCGCCCGTAGCTCAGTGACTAGGGTGCTGGCCACATACACCGAAGCTGGCGGATTCGAGCCCAGCCCAGGGCTGCTAAACAACAATGACAACTGCAACCAAAAAATAGCCTGGCCTTCTAGTGGGTGCCTGTAGTAGTCCCAGCTACTCAGGAGGCTGAGGCAAGAGAATTGCTTAAGCCCAAGAGTTTGAGGTTGCTGTGAGCTATGATGCCACAGTGCTCTACTGAAGGAGACAGCTTGAGACACTGTCTCAAAAAAAACACAAAACTTTCTTTTTTTTTATCATTTGGGGTTCATTGAAGGGACAAAGAGTTAGGTTACACTGATTGCATTTGGTAGGTAAATTCTCTCCTGTCCCCAAAAGGTGTGCCATACACCGTGACCCCCCCATCTCCCTCCCTCCTCCCCTTTCCTTGCTCCCTCATTCCTGTAGCCCCCCACCCCCCTAGATCATCTATTGCCTTCATATTAGAACTGAGTACATTGGATTCTTGCTTCTCCATTCTCGTGATGCTTTACTAAGAAGAATGTGTTCCACCTCCATCCAGGTTAATACAAAACATGTAAAGTCTCTATCTCTTTTAATGGCTGAATAGTATTCCATGGTATACATATACCACTTGTTAATTCATTCCTGGATTGGTGAACATTTAGGTTGTTTCCACAATTTGGCAATTGTAAATCAAGCTGTGATAAACAGTCTAGTGCCAGTGTCCTTATGATAAAATGATTTTTTTTTCCTTCTGGGTCGATGTCTAGGAATGGGATTGCAGGATCAAATGGGAGGTCTAGCTTGAGTTCTTGGAGGGTTCTCCATACTTCCTTCCAAAAAGTTTGTATTAGTTTGCAGTCCCACCCACCAGCAGCATAAGTGTTCCCTTATCTCCACATCCACACCAGCATTTGTAGCTTTGAGATTTTGTAATGTGGGGCATTCTCACTAGGATTAGGTGATATCTCAGGGTAGTTTTGAATTGCATGTCTCTGATGATTAGGGACAATGAGCATTTTTTTCATATGGTTGTTAGCCATTCATCTTTTTTCTTTAGAGAAGGTTCCATTCATGTCTCTTGCCCAGTGATATAAGGGATTATTGGCTTTTTTGTTGTTCATTAATTTGAGTTCTCTGTAGGTCCTACTTATCAAGCTTTTGTCTGATTCTTAATGTGCAAATATCTTTTCCCATTCTGAAGGTTGTCTATTTGCTTTAGTTGTTGTCTCCTTAGCTGTACAGAAGTTATTCAGTTTAATTAAGTCCCATTTGATTATTTTTGTTGTTGCAATTGCCGCTAAAGTCTTCTTCATAAAAAACTTTCCTTAGGCTGATAACTTCAAGTGTTTTCCCCATACTTTCTTCAAGGATTTTTATTGTTTCATGCCTTAATCTTTTATCCATCTTGAATCAATTTTTGTGAGCTCAATGTCCCCACCTTCATCTGAATCTTCCCACAGTTCCCCATTCCAGCTTCTAGGATTCTAATCAATGTTCTCATTGTCCTCACTTTCACAGTAGATGCCCTGCAAGGTGGGGAGTTCAACTTGTCTCATAATTCAGCCAGTCACAAGATGATATTCTGTTTAATTTTCAGCAATCTCAGCCCTATGGCTACAAGTGTTAAGGGTCTCCTTTAGGACATAAGAGATAAGCTTTCAGGTCACTTATGCATCCAATGAGCTGGTAATGCAAATCTCTGAGCCCCTCTTTGACTTTTGACCACTCCAAACTGAGAGTTTAGAGTGAAAAACTCTCTGAGACTCTGAGAGTTTTTGATCAGATTAGAGAGGCAATTCCAGCAACCCCAGAACCAATTCAGAAAACTCAGCCTTAAAATTCTGTTCTTCTGGCTTGGCACCCATAGCACAGTGGTTATGGCACCAGCCACATACACTGAGGGTGGTGGGTTTGAACCCAGTCTGAGCCAGCTAAACAATGACAATGGCAACAAAAAATAGCCGGGCATTGTGGTGGGCATCTGTAGTCCCAGCTACTTGGGAGGCTGAGGCAAGAAAATCGCTTAAGCCTAAGACTTTGAGGTTTCTGCAAGCTGTGACACCATGGCACTCTACTGAGGGTGACATAGTGAGACTCTGTCTCAAAAAAAAAAAAATTCTGTTCATCTAGAGCCACTCCTGATACCATAGAAATAGGTAATATTTTACATTTCTGTAAAATAAGAAATTGGCTTATACAATTATAATGGATGACAAGCCCCAAGATCTATAATCAGCAAATTGTACCCCTAAGAGGGCTGATGGTGTAAGTTCCAGTTCAAGTTCAATTCCAAAGGCAGAAGATGACCCAAGGGCAGTCAGGCAGAGAGAGAGAGAGAATTCTCTCTCATTCACTCTGCCTTTTGTTCTATTCAGACCTTCAACAGATGGAATGCTACCCAACAATTCACCTTTCTTAGTCCACTGGTTGAAATGGTAATCTTGTCTAGAAACATCCTCACAGACAAGACCAGAATAATGTCTAGCCAAACATCTGGGCATCCTGTGGCCCTGTCAGGTTGACACATGTAATTAACCATCAAAATCTTCAAGAAAATGGCTTATTGCAAGCCCTCTCCCTAACATAGGGAGTTGGCACCCCCTGTTCCCACCTCATGTCTTTAAATTCTTACCATTCAACTAATTCTTTTGGGTTATCATTGGGTAAGATCCCATAAGAGAAGTAATTCTTTTTCCTTTTCTCTACTGCAGTTCAGCATTTATAATAAAGCCCTATTCATAGTAGGTACGCCTATGTTTTTTGAAGGAATAAAATGAGTTCTGGTGGCAGGAGGCAGGGGCAATAGATGTGTTTGGGAAAAGCACATCTCTCTTAGAGGTCCAGAAAAGAGCAAGGCTGAGTCTTGGGCAGATTTAACAGGATAGCATGCCAGATAGAGGCCGTTCTTGGGAACAAGTTAGTGATTTCAGAATCACTATTGACTAAGAAGCTTAAGTTAGCTATTGACTAAGTTAGTGATTTCAGAATCGCTATTGACTAAGAAGCTTAAGTGAGCGATTTTCAGAATCGGTATTGACTAAGAAGCTTAAGTTCTTTTGGCCTCAGATCAGGATTGGTTCAGAGCCTGTGGCATGGTTAAATCTACTCCGGGAGGTCAGATGGGCCAGCTGTGGATGAGAAGAGTTGCAGAAGCTGAACTGGTCTGGGTTAGCACCCATTCTGAGGGAGAACTCTGAAAGAGACATTTAGGAAGCACTACAAAAGCTACTGAACAAATATATACCTACCCCCAACAGCTCCCCTTCACCAACAGGCCCTAGACTTGCATTAATATAATTACTAGTAAGACAGTCTTTATGTGCATGTCATCAGCTGACAAGTAGTATTTTATTTCCTTCATAGCTAGAGACAAGGTGGTCCTTTATTGCCCTCACTATGGCAACGTATTTTCTCTCTCTCTCTCTCTCTCTCTCTCTCTCTCTCTCTCGCGCGCGCGCGCACACACACGAGTTCCCTATGGAAAACAGGACAGTGATATCTGAAAGTTGAACATCTTTCTTGTTCATTTCAGAGATTTTAGCAGAGAATGCATTTGTTGCTTTCAAATATTATATCTTACTTTCCCTATCTCCCCACTTTTTAAGCTTTCTGCCCAGGAATTTTTCTTTCCTGTTAACTAGACACCGAATCTGTCAGTAAGCCTCCTTCCAACTCCCACAAAATCCGAAGTCCCGTGACAAACTTTGGCTGTGATAAATAAGGTCATTTTTTCCGCAGTTGTCACCCTATATCTCCAAATGGAGAAAGATTATATCTCCCAAGGTGCAGGGTTTTCATTTGCAAAATGGGGATGCTCCCTACTTAAAGGCTGTCATGAAGATAAAAAATGTGCAAGTGTGCATAAAATTGCAAATATTATGTGCTACACATGTTTGGTGACACAGTTATAATAATAATGTATTATTATATATTTGGCAAAATGTCTATGTTATTGGCAAATATTTGGCATTCACAGAGATTCCTAAGATGAAGAAAATGCTAATCATTATTTTAAAAGAAGGAAAAAAGGAGCTATATTGTTTATTTTGTTATACAGTTGGATGCT